TCTACATGTCAACATCAGAGGGCTTGTGACTAAATTAAGTCAACTAAAACTAGAAGTGGCAAATCTTGACCCGGACATTTTTTGCCTAACAGAAACATTTCTCACTCCTGCCGTCAATGACTTGCAGATTACGATTGATAACTTCAACCTTTTTCGGCTTGACCGAGTATCTAAAGGAGGTGGAATTGCCATCTATGTTCGTAATACTATTGCATGTTCACCAGCTCACTCCTTTTAAATTTTGATTTAAAGCTTTCGTGACTGCAGTAATTCATATTCTTAGTTTTTTCGGTAAAGTCACGTTGAAGAGAAACAACAAAATAACAAAATATATATAAAACAATAAAAAATTCTCACGACGTTTCGACCATAACTCAAACGGTCATCATTATGGTCGAAACGTCGTGAGAATTTTTTATTGTTTTATATATATTTTGTTATTTTGTTGTTTCTCTTCAACGTGACTTTACCGAAAAAACTAAGAATATGAATACAGCTCACTCCTTGTTTAAAAAATGTTGCTTTGAGGGTTTAGCTCTCAGAATAGCTGGGGGGGGGGACCACAAACAAGGGTTCGCTATTCGCGCCGGAAATAAAAACCTCGGTGCCAGATTGTTGGTTGACGCGTGGTGTGAAGAGTGGCAAGAGCGGTGGGACAGCGGTTAGCGCACTGCAGTGTGTGTGTGACTCCAATCAGTGTGTGGACGGAGCGCGCATATATACAAATAGATGAACGTTCTCCCACGCCGCGAGCGTATTGCGCAGAGATTAATTAATTGATTCCGAGCGCAGCCGGCCGGCTTGTTGACACAACGGCTTAGTAGATTAATTAATTCCAAACAGCTGCGAGCCGGCGATTTAAACAAGATTACGTAATCCGCGCGGTTAGGACGCGTGAGTGGGGAGGGGGCCATCAGCCCCCACACTTGCTCCCAACACACAAATACAAAGATCCCCCGTACAGCCTTAACAGATTGTAGGGGCAAGTGCTGTTAGCGAGCTCCTATTAAGGGTGGGACGGCACACGAGGGGGTGGGTGGCCAGCACAACGCCCGGCCGCCTTTGTCTCCCTAGTGGCGATGTTTACACACCGCACCGGGTACTCGTTTGAGGCTGAGTCGACGTAGGGGAGGCTCAGGACCGGTTCAGAAAATCGTCACTGGCGGTGTTGGCCACGAGCGGGAACGGAACTCGGCTGGTCCGGTGCGGAGCGCAGCGCTCACCACGTCACTGCCGCTCTCCTTCTGTCAACAAACTTGCACTCTGACCCCGCTCTCTGACGTCACCGATCACCGTGACCTCATCGGTGTCAAACGCAAGGGGGAGGTGTGCCTCGCTAGTGACGTCATGTCACTAAGGTATTCACCCCACCCCTGACCACCGAGCTCGTGGGCGTGACGTCACCTCCGCTTGGCCGCTGCCGATACGTTCCCGTGCCAATCCTTATTTGTGCAAACCTACGACCGGTGACTGGCGGCTCATTAACATAATGTATTCGTGAAAGCCGTCGCGAAGTTTTTTTGTGACAGGTTCGGCACCCACGCCCCATCCCTCCATGAATGGGCCAGGTTCATTAACATAATTTATTTAAGCTCCGGAGCCAATCGTTGAGTGTTATAGTACCCGGTAGTGACGTCATGTCACCTCCTGCTGCCGCGTGACGTCGCGACGTAACAGGAAGTTGCCGCTCCGACCGCGCACTGAAATCCGAGGTGAGAAATTCTCATTGCGGTTGTGGTGGTGTTCGTGGTGGTGGTCGTGGTGGTTGTTTTTGTCGTTTACCGAGGTAGAGCCTCGCTCTCTCTCTCGTAGGGATGAAAATTGAGTAGCAGCGTGCATGGAAGCGATGTCCAGGCTGGAATTTTACGTCGTGGGGCCTATCCACGCGGGGCCTTGCCTCCTGCCCTCGCCTGATCGCATTTGCTTCAATTATCCCGCTTAATCTTCTTTGGTTCTGTCGGTAAAGTCACCGCCGCGTAGAATGAGAATAAAATAATAAATTGATAAAATAACATAATAATATTCTCACGACGTTTCTGCCACAACACAAGCGGCCTTCATCAGGTGAAGGGACGAGACTGGAGGACAGCGCTGGAGTGAAAAAGCCACGCTCAGATCGCGACCTTTAAGCTGTGTGAGAAGAAACAAAGCCCCTTGACAAAGGAATTAGCATTGAATTTAGCATTGAAATGGCTGAGTGAATAGCTTGTGACTGGTCACAGAAATGGCTATGTTAAAGTTAAAGCATACACATCCGCAGAGGCACCCCTTGACAAAGGAATTAGCATAGAATTTAGCGTTGAAATAGCTAAGTTAAAGCATACACATCCACAGAGGCACCCCTTGACAAAGGAATTAGCATAGAATTTAGCATTGAAATAGCTGAGTGATTAGCTTGTAACTGGTCACAGAAATAGCTATGTTAAAGTCAGAGCAAACACATTCACAGAGGCACCTAGTACAAATCAAACAGGAGAATTTAGCATTGAAATAACTAGGCATCCGCGAACATAAAGCAGACTTGAAACAAGGTAGAACGAACTCCTCTGCCGTGGCAGATCACTGTTATAATTCAGTGGGCTCACATGACATTGACTTCTCCAAGACGGAGGTTCTTTGCAAACCAACCGGCTACCATGAGAGATTCGTTCATGAGGCCATTCACATATACAAACACAGAGACAATTTCAACCGAGAAGATGGATTCTGGCTTAGTAACCATTGGACAGATGTTTTAAACCATTTCCGCTCTTAATTAATTGTATTTTACGATGACCTTCAGACCACAGCTCTTTCGCTGGCATTGACTCTTAATACCTCTCACACCACGGTTAATGGTATGGTTTACAACATGGAGTATAACAGCGCCTCGCAGCTGTCTCTCTCCCCCTCCTCTGTTCCGACAATGGATGAACTCGTCCGTCTGAACGGGGCCCGTAGCTATCCGTGTTGCTAAAGTTGAGGGTAAGAACCCACCCATTTTTTCGCCATATAGCATTGTGATATATAACGACTTATTGTTGGTAGCTTAGCTGATTTGAGAATATATAGAGTTTATTGATAACATTGAGGTAATTTATATTTTAGGTTTTTTTATTGTTTTTTATTGGTTCACTATGTAGTATTCATTATATATTGTAGTGTATACCCAGTTACTGTGAATAGCTCAGATGTGTAGGCCTTGACTTCAACATAGCCATTTCTGTGACCAGTCACAAGCTAATCACTCAGTTATTTCAATGCTAAATTCGCCTAGTTATTTCAGTGCTAGATTCTCCTGTTTGATTTGTACTAGGTGCTTCTGAATGTGTTTGCTCTGACTTTAACATAGCTATTTCTGTGACCAGTTACAAGCTAATCACTCAGCTATTACAATACTAAATTCTATGCTAATTCCTTTGTCAAGAGGTGCCTCTGTGGATGTGTATGCTTTAACTTAGCTATTTCCATGCTAAATTCTATGCTAATTCCTTTGTCAAGGGGTGCCTCTGCGGATGTGTATGCTTTAACTTTAACATAGCCATTTCTGTGACCAGTCACAAGCTAATCACTCAGCCATTTCAATGCTAAATTCAATGCTAATTCCTTTGTCAAGGCGCTTTGTTTCTTCTCACACAGCTTAAAGGTCGTGACCTGAGCGTGGCTTTTTCACTCCAGCGCTGTCCTCCAGACAGTCTCGTCCCTTCACCTGATGAAGGCTGCTTGTGTTGTGGCCGAAACGTCGTGAGAATATTATTGTGTTATTTTATTTTATCAATTTATTATTTTATTCTCATTCTACGTGACTTTACCGAAAGAACCAAGAAGATGAATCCTTGCAGTCACGAAAGCTTTAAATCGAAATTTATCTCGCTTAAGTTTAATTTGTCTTAACACGGCTCGCCACTTTGTAACTTTGTTTTACTTAAAATATTCACACAGTTTTTATTTTATTTACCAGGCCCAGCCCGCTTGAGCTGCTATACCGCTCTTGTTTTCAGAAGCGACCTGCCAACAACACAAGGTGAGGCTTGTCAACAGCGTGGCGGTGTTCACTCTGGACGCGTGGCGGTGTTCACTCTGGACGCCTGGTGGTGTTCACTCTCTACATGTGGAGGGGAAAACGGGGGATCCGGAGGAAAATCCACGCGACCACGGGAAAAGAGAGAGACACATCCTCGGCTGTGTTGATTGATCCTCAATGAATTACTTGGTGGAGTGAGGAAGCATTAATACTGAGCGGATGATGGTGGACAGGCATGGGTCTGGACACACCACCACCTGTTTACCATGCCAGTGTGTGACAGTGTAAAATTTGTGTTTTAAGTAAAGTCTATTAACTCTGTTGAACACGGAGGTTATATCAAAACAGTAGTTTCTTTTTATTTTCCTCTGGAACTCTTCGTAAGAATGGAGTCAGGAAGTTATCACAGCACACACATGCAGCTGAAGTCGGATCTGTTCATCCCAGCATTCAAGGACATCTGTGCCTGGCTTCACACCTCTAAGTTGCGATTGAACATTAATTTATGCATTTCTGCATAACACAAATAGTATCATTTTCAACACCCTTTGCTATGTCAGCTGAATTTAGCTTTCATAAATATTCCTTTTGTAGCCAGACAGCCGAAATTGTGTGCTCAGAGTTTTGGGTTAACATTCATTTTGAAGCAACGAAGGCTTCCAGGCATGTTTGTGACCATTCACCCTCTCATTGTGTGCCATAACAGCCAGTGTGATGAATTGGGGAAACTTTTTCACTATATTATGAATATATGAATAAGTATATACGTGTAAGTCACGTGTTACTGTATATATGCATTCCTCTGTGCATCGATACTGACGTATAGATGGTGTGGATGTTCTTTTTTTCTGTCTGCAGCTGTCACTTCCTCTGCAGAATTGGTCTGATGGAGCTAAGGCACTCGGCGCGGCTTGGTACAAAAAGGCAACAATGGGACCGGCGTGCATACAGCACGGATCGTCCTGGACATTTGACACAGCACCAGAGAACTCACACGGGAGAGAAACCCTTCAAGTGCAGTGTGTGTGGGAAGGCGTTTGCACGTTCATATACTCTTGTAACACACCAGAGAAGACATACGGGAGAGAAACCCTTCAAGTGCAGTGTGTGTGGGAAGGCGTTTGCAGCGTCATCTTCTCTTGTATCACACCAGAAAACACACACTGGAGAGAAACCCTTCAAGTGCAGTGTGTGTGGGAAGGCGTTTGCACATTCATCCTCTCTTGTAACACACCAGAGAATACACACGGGAGAGAAACCCTTCAAGTGCAGTGTGTGTGGGAACGCCTTTGCACAGTCATCTTCTCTTGGAGCACACCAGAAAACACACACGGGAGAGAAACCCTTCAAGTGCAGTGTGTGTGGGAAGGCGTTTGCAGAGTCATCTTCTCTTGTATCACACCAGAAAACACACACTGGAGAGAAACCCTTCAAGTGCAGTGTGTGTGGGAAGGCGTTTGCACATTCATCTGCTCTTATAACACATAAGAGAACACACACGGGAGAGAAACCCTTTAAGTGCAGTGTGTGTGGGAAGGCGTTTATAAATTCATCTCCTCTTGTAAAACACCAGAGAACACACACGGGAGAGAAACCCTTCAAGTGCAGTGTGTGTGGGAAGGCGTTTGCACGTTCATATACTCTTGTAACACACCAGAGAAGACACACGGGAGAGAAACCCTTCAAGTGCAGTGTGTGTGGGAAGGCGTTTGTAGAGTCATCTTCTCTTGTATCACACCAGAAAACACACACTGGAGAGAAACCCTTCAAGTGCAGTGTGTGTGGGAAGGCGTTTGCACATTCATCCTCTCTTGTAACACACCAGAGAAGACACACGGGAGAGAAACCCTTCAAGTGCAGTGTGTGTGGGAACGCGTTTGCGCAGTCATCTTCTCTTGTAGCACACCAGAAAACACACACGGGAGAGAAACCCTTCAAGTGCAGTGTGTGTGGGAAGGCGTTTACACGTTCATCTACTCTTGTAACACACCAAAGAAGACACACGGGAGAGAAACCCTTCAAGTGTAGTGTGTGTGGGAAGGCGTTTGCACTTTCATCTACTCTTGTAAAACACCAGAGAAGACACACGGGAGAGAAACCCTTCAAGTGCAGTGTGTGTGGGAAGGCGTTTGCACATTCATCTGCTCTTATAACACACCAGAGAGGACACACTGGAGATAAACCCTTCAAGTGCAGTGTGTGTGGGAAGGCGTTTGGACTTTCATCTATTCTTGTAACACACCAGAGAAGACACATGGGAGAGAAACCCTTCAAGTGCAGTGTGTGCGGGAAGGTGTTTGCACGGTCATCGCATCTTCAAAGTCACCAGAGAACACACAAGCATCGGAAGATCCCCAAAGAGCAGAATCTGAAATCAGCATGTGAAAGTCAAATTGCCGCAATGAGCCCATCCATCATGAAACAAGAACCGGAAGAAAATCCCAGCTTGGACGCTTTTAAAGGTATCAAGGTGAAATATGAAGTGATGAAGGTGAAATGTGAAGAGGTGAAATGTGAAGAAGTGATGGCGAAGAGCGAGGAAGTGAAGGTAAAATGTGAAGATGATGCAACTCCAAAATCGGACCTTCACATCGATGGAGGCAACGTGAAGCAGGAGGAGAATTCTGACTGTGAAGCAGAGCAAGGCAACTCCCAGCAGTTTGTGGAAGTGGAGGTGTGGGTAGACTTCCTCCGAGACAATACAAAGTCAAATGGAGACCCGGTAGATGTGTGAGCCTGAGACGATGTCGCTCCAATAGATGCACCTTTGTCACAGGCCTTTAATGACAAGATTGTGAAGTTAAACACTCAATTCCTAGGTTCAACCTGCAGGGTAAGCGCGGCCAGTCTTTGTGGACCTGTGGGTTGGGTAGATCTCTAACCAGGAGCGAGAGCCAATACGCTCCCAAGCATTCACTTGTCATAATTGAATTTATATGGTGCTTGCTTCATTGTCTCGGCAATTTGGAGTTTTGAATCGTGTCTCGTCTCAAACACTCGAAGAGCACAGCAAGAAAATTTGAAAAAAGTCGTGACAATTTTATTTTATATTTTTATTATTTTATTGTTTCCCTTCTACGTGACTTTACCAAAAGAACCAATAATATTTAGAAACATCTATGTTACGAATCTACACATTCACAGGGAGGCTTGTGTTGAAATCTTTCTTTTGATCACAATCTTGCCTGCGAATGTATTGAAGCCTTAGCCAATTGATAAGCATTTGCTGAAGCAGGCACACTGCCACACACCATTGTTCCAAGACATTTCGTTAATTGCATAACCTTACCAATGAATCCATTGAGGTCTACTTTTGCTTTCGGGACATTGCTATTTGCATGAATATTGTCACATTAATTTTTAAGGACTTTTTCCCATCGCCATGAATGCTCGCTGTCCTCTGAGGAATTAACCGATTGTTCTGTTACCCAGTTTAAGTAACGTAATCATTGAGGGTTAAATGTACGGATCAATGAGGAGAACATCTCCAGGAGTACTGTGTTGACATTCCTAGCATAAGAGTTTGTATATTAGAGTGCTATGTTTTTGTTAAGAGATTAAAGTTGCTTAACACAGAAGTGTCTGAGTGGTGCCTTCCTAAGTTCATGCGTAATCTTAATTATAAGAACTGTATCCTGCGGTAAGATCTGAATCTTGAGACTTGACATAAACACACTTAAGACATAATCAGTCAAAGTTAAAGTGAGGATCATTGTGTAAAGGAGTTCCCGATGACTCACTCGGAGGCTAAGATAAGGTAGGGGCTTCCGCCAAGGTTTTATTACAAATCTTTAACAATACACAGGGGTGAACAACTCCCCAGGGGTTAGGGGTCCCGGGCTAGGTCCCAACACAGCCGGCTGCCCTGTGCTGTCTCCTCTGCCCCGGCCGTGGGATCAACCAACACGGCCGAGCGAGGAGCACAGCCACGTCTAGCCTGGCACTGTGCTCTCCCCTATCCCTACCCTCTTGCCCCTGGCTCCCCGTTTCACCCTTCTCAGACCCTACTCTCCAGCTACGACACCGCTTTCGTCACGGGGTCCCCTTTTTATCCTTCAGGAGCCGTGACGTCACTCTGCTGCCCCGAGCGCATGACGTCACGTCATCGCCCTGGACAGCACAAGTGATGCCACTTCCCCATTCTACTCCTCTACAATTGTATTATCCCGATTAATAATACAACCCTAGACAACGAGGCAGAGCCTAATTATCATCATTGCATATATTAGCATAATCACATGCACTTGCAAAACAATGCAATTACACCCCCCAAGCCCCCCCCCCCCACCCCCAATTAGCAAAACATAACATGAATGATTACATAAATGAGCATAATTTCGGATACTTAAAAATTGTATTTAAATTTTGATTAAATTTTTTTATAAATTTGCAAGACCCGATATATACAACATTGCCCTGCACTGGCCTGCATGTGGACAAGAGCGTGTCAGTAGGGGGCGATGGTTGATGTGGCATCTCAGTTGTGTTGTTTGTAGGTAATGTTTAGAATTAGCTCAATTTTGACTGAGACGCCAGCATGCAATGGCCTACTCGTTTTGAATGGCGCAATAGTATGTTGTACATACACTGTTAAACAGATGGTGCGTTTTTTTTAAAAATAGCTTCTTGTTAATGTGATGTAACCTGGTGCAGTATATTGCAGTGCAGTAACTAGTTGTAGTTTGTGTAAAACATTCCTTTGTTTCGTGGAGAGATCGATAAATGAAAGATGTCGTGTCTGCTGATCTGCTTCATAGCAAAGAGGTAATTTTAAGAGCACATTTGAAATTCATTTTTGGTCCAGATTTGTATTCGGTTACAAGGCAAAGCACATCTAGTAGATACATTCTCCACAACAACACTAATGATTTTGCATGACGTCTTATATGTTGGCGAACTCGGACAAGAAATGGTCCTTGACGATTTACGTCTGAATGTTCACAACCATGGGTTGAAGCAAGCCTGACCGCCTGCGGCGCCCCTCACAACCATTTTTGGCCTTGGGCCAGGAAAGTCACGAAAAAAGTTTCACGAACGACGCATCCACGCAAGCACCCGATGCTCCGTTTTTAAGTTTTAAAATGAAACAACTTTGAATTGTATTATTCTTTTTGATTTGATGATTTCATTTCTTCATTAAAAGCTTATATCATTTTACTTCTGGAAGATGTAATTGAAAACGACACTTTGTGTGAATTTTCTCTCATCAAGTAGATGGCCTTGCCGGGGGTTTCGGTTCGATGCGGACTTTCACCTGTTTGAGATCGCGGGATCAAGATGAGGCGACACAGAGCTGGCCTTGCGAGAAGACCGGCGTCTGCAGATCGATTCCAAAGTGATCGAGCGTCTGTCCCTGGGCCTCCGTTGTTAATGCAGGGGGCGCGTAGGTTTGTAGCGCCCCCTGCATGAAAATGATGGAAAGTGCAGTGTTTGTCACAGATGAAGTTGTACGCTTCAAACTACCTTCGTCTTACAGAAATCAATTTCGTGTGAGCCCACCGCATTAAAACAATGCTCAGCTGAGCGGGGCGAGCCACGGGAGGGGGGGGGGGGGTAAAAGTCTTCGAGGCGAGCATCCTCCTCAACCCCCATCGTGCAGCTGTGAGGTGAGCGTATGGGGGGCTGATTCAGCCCAGTTCGCCGTCAGCCCTAGCGTGGGGTCATCGCACTTTGCGAGGGTGAGGTGATAAGAGGTTAGGCGCTGTCTGGAGGGGCTGGCTGGGGGGGGGACCACAAACAAGGGTTCGCTATTCGCGCCGGAAATAAAAACCTCGGTGCCAGATTGTTGGTTGACGCGTGGTGTGAAGAGTGGCAAGAGCGGTGGGACAGCGGTTAGCGCACTGCTGTGTGTGGGTGACTCCAATCAGTGTGTGTACGGAGCGCGCATATATACAAATAGATGAACGTTCTCCCACGCCGCGAGCGTATTGCTCAGAGATTAATTAATTGATTCCGTGCGCAGCCGGCCGGCTTGTTGACACGACGGCTTAGTAGATTAATTAATTCCAAACAGCTGCGAGCGGCGATTTAAACAAGATTACGTAATCCGCGCGGTTAGGACGCGTGAGTGGGGAGGGGGGGGCATGAGCCCCCACACTTGCTCCCAACACATACAAAGATCCCCCGTACAGCCTTAACAGAGTGTAGGGGCAAGTGCTGTTAGCGAGCACCTATTAAGGGTGGGACGGCACACGAGGGGGTGGGTGGGTGGCCAGCACCACGCCCGGCCGCCTTTGTCTCCCTAGTGGCGATGTTTACACACCACACCGGGTACTCGTTTGAGGCTGAGTCGACGTAGGGGAGGCTCAGGACCGGTTTAGAAAATCGTCACTGGCGGTGTTGGCCACGAGCGGGAATGGAACTCGGCTGGTCCGGTGCGGAGCGCAGCGCTCAGCACGTCACTGCCGCTCTCCTTCTGTCAACAAACTTGCACTCTGACCCCGATCTCTGACGTCACCGCTCAGCGTGACCTCATCGGAGGTGTGCCTCGCTAGTGACGTCATGTCACCACGGTATTCACCCCACCCCCGACCACCGTGCTTATGAGCGTGATGTCACCTCCGCTTGGCCGCAGCCGATTTCTGTTCCAGTGCCAATCCTTATTTGGGCAAAGCTACGCCCGGTGAGTGTCGGCTCATTAACATAATGTATTCGTGAAAGCCGTCGCGCGTTTTTTGCGACAGGTTCGGCATCCACGACCCATCCCTCCACGAGTGGGCCAGATTCATTAACATAATTTATTTAAGTTACGGAGCCAATCGTTGGATGTTATAGTACCCGAAAGTGACGTCTTGTCACCTCTTGCTGCCGCGTGACGTCGCGACGTAACAGGAAGTTGCCGCTTCGACCGTGCACTGAAATCCGAGGTGAGAAATTCTCATCGCGGTTGTGGTTGTTGTGATGGTGGTTGTGGTGGTGGTTGTTTTAGTTTACAGAGGTAGAGCCTCGCTCTCTCTCGTAGGGAAGCAAATTGAGTAGCAGCGAGCATGGAAGCGATGTCCAGGTTGGAAGTTTACGTGGGGCCTATCCACGCGGGGCCTTGCCTCCTGCCCTCGCCTGATCGCGTTTGCTTCAGTTATCTCGCTTAAGTTTAATTTGTCTTCACACGGCTCGCCACTTTGAAACTTTGTTTTACATTAAATATTCACGCAGTTTTTGTTTTATTTTTTTACCAGGCCCAGCCCGCTTGAGCTGCTATAACGCTCTTGTTTTCAGAAGCGACCTGCACACAACACAAGGTGAGGCTTGTGTTGTGTGAGGCTTGTGTTGTGTTATTTTATTAATTTATTATTTTATTCTCATTCTACGTGACTTTACCGAAAGAACCAAAGAGGAAGGTCAGGCTGGTCAACAGCGTGGTGGTGTTCACTCTGGACGCGTGGCGGCGTTCACTCTAGACACGTGGCGGCGTTCACTCTGGACGTGTGGCGGCGTTCACTCTAGACGCGTGGTGGTGTTCACTCTCTACATGTGGAAGGGTTACCGGGGTATCCGGAGGAAAATCCACGCGACCACGGGAAGAGAGAGAGAGAGACACGCAGCCTCGGCTGTGTTGATTGATCCTCAATGAATTACTTGGTGGAGTGAGGAAGCATTAATACTGAGCGTATGAAGGTGGCCAGGCATGGGTCTGGACACACCGCCACTTGTTTACCATGCCAGTGTGTGACAGTGTAAAATTTGTGTTTGCAGTAAAGTCTCTTAACTCTGTTGAACATGGAGGTTATATCAAAACAGTAGTTTATTTTTTGCTTTCCTCTGGAACTCTTTGTAAGAATGAAAACGGTCAGGAAGTTAACACAGCACACACATGCAGCTGAAGTCGGATCTGTTCATCCCAGCATTGAAGGACATCTGAGCCTGGCTTCACACCTCTAAGTTGCGATTGAACATTAATTTATGCATAACACAAATAGCATTATTTTCAACACCCTTTGCTATGTCAGCTGAATTTAGCTTTCATAAATATTTCTTTTGTAGCCAGACAGCCGAAATTGTGTGCTCGGAGCTTTGGGTTAACATTCATTTTGAAGCAACGAGGGCTTCCAGGCACGTTTGTGACCATTCGCCCTCTCATCGTGTACCATAACAGCCCGTGTGATGAATTTGGGAAACTTTTCCACTATATTATGAATATATGAATAAGTATAGACGTGTAAATCACGTGTTACTGTATATATGCATTCATCTGTGCATCGATACTGACGTGTAGATTGTATGGATGTTCTTTTTTTCTGTCTGCAGCTGTCACTTCCTCTGCAGAATTGGTCTGATGGAGCAAAGGCTCTCGGCGCAGCTCGGTACAAAAAGGCAACAATGCGACCGGCGTGAATACAGCACAGATCGTCCTGGACATTTGACACAGCACCAGAGAACTCACACGGGAGAGAAACCCTTCAAGTGCAGTGTGTGTGAGAAGGCGTTTGCACGTTCATCTGCTCTTGTAATACACCAGAGAACACACACGGGAGAGAAACCCTTCAAGTGCAGTGTGTGTGGGAAGGCGTTTTCGCAGTCATCTGCTCTTGTAATACACCAGAGAACACACACGGGAGAGAAACCCTTCAAGTGCAGTGTGTGTGGGAAGGCGTTTGCACGTTCATCTAATCTTGTAACACACCAGATAACACACACAGGGGAGAAACCCTGCAAGTGCAGTGTGTGTGGGAAGGCATTTGCACAATCATCTACTCTTGTATCACACCAGAAAACACACACGGGAGAGAAACCCTTCAAGTGCAGTGTGTGTGGGAAGGCGTTTACACGTTCATCTACTCTTGTAGCACACCAGATAACACACACGTTAGAGAAACCCTTCAAGTGCAGTGTGTGTGGGAAGGCGTTTGCAAAGTTATCTGCTCTTGTATCACACCAGAAAACACACACGGGAGATAAACCCTTCAAGTGCAGTGTTTGTGGGAAGGCGTTTGCACAGTTATCTACTCTTATAAGACACCAGAGAACACACACGGGAGAGAAACCCTTCAAGTGCAGTGTGTGTGGGAAGGCGTTTGCACAGTCATCTGCTCTTATCATACACCAGAGAAGACACACGGGAGAGAAACCCTTCAAGTGCAGTGTGTGTGGGAAGGCGTTTGCACAGTCATCTGCTCTTATAACACACCAGAGAAGACACACGGGAGAGAAACCCTTCAAGTGCAGTTTGTGTGGGAATGCATTTGCACGTTCATCTGCTCTTATAAAACACCAGAGAACACACACGGGAGAGAAACCCTTCAAGTGCAGTGTGTGCGGGAAGGCGTTTGCACGTTCATCTACTCTTATAACACACCAGAGGACACACACGGGAGAGAAACCCTTCAAGTGCAGTGTGTGTGGGAAGGCATTTGCACAGTCAACACATCTTCAAGGACACCAGAGAACACACAAGCATCAGAAGATCCACAAAGAGCGGATTCTGAAATCAGCATGTGAAAGTCAAAGTGCCGCAGTGAGCCCATCCCTCATGAAACAAGAACCGGAAGAAAATCCCAGCTTGGACACTTTTAAAGGTATCAAGGTTAAATATGAAGAGTTGACGGTGAAATATGAAGAGGTGATGGTGAAATATGAAGATGTGATGGTGAAGAGCGAAGAAGTGAAGGTAAAATGTGAAGATGAAGATTCATCTCCAAAATGGGACCTTCGCATCGATGGAGGCAATGTGAAGCAGGAGGAGAATTCTGACTGTGAGGCAGAGCGAGGCAACTCCCAGCAGTTTGTGGAAGTGGAGGTGTGGGTGGACTTCCTCCGAGACAATACAAAGTCAAATGGAGACCCGGTAGATGTGTAAGCCTGAGACGATGTCGCTCCAATAGATGCACCTTTGTCACAGGCCTTTAATTAAAATAATGTGAAGTTGAGCACTCAATTCCTAGGTTCAACCTGCATGGTAAGAGTGGCCAGTCTTTGTGGACCTGTGGGTTGGGGAGATCTCTAACCAGGAGCGAGAGCCAATAATCTCCCAAGCATTCACTATGTTCTAATAATTGAATTTATATGGTGCTTCATCGCCTTGGCAATTCGGAGTTTCATATCGTATCTCGTCTCAAACACTCAAAGAGCACCCCTAAGTAGCAGCTGCCCCTGTGTAGCACAAGGTGGTGGCTGTTGTATATTTAGGCCTTTTTCCAAAATTGATATGAAGAATCTGCTAAAATATTTAGTTTAATCAATTGGGGTGTAGCATGAGGCAAAAAAATTGCAACAACCACGCTCACCCCTCACAGCAGCTGCCTTCCACAAGTCACACCACGCAAGGAAGTAGCCTTAAAAGGTAAAAAACAAACCCAGGTGCATTTTGACTGCAGGTATTGTGGTAAATGCAGACATGAATCCTAGTAAAAAAGGTTTCAGTTTTGTTGCCAGAAAAAAGGGGAAAACCCTATAATCTGAATGATTACATAAATTAGCATAATTTCGGATACTTTACATTTACATTTAATTTTTAGTTAACTTTTTATTAAATTTGCAAGACCCGATATATACAACATGGCCCTGCACTGGCCTTAATGTGGACAAGAGCCTGTCAGTAGGGGGCGATGGTTGATTTGGCATCTCAGTTGTGTTGTTTGTAGGTAATGTTTAGAATTAGCTCAATTTTGACTGAGACGCCAGCATGCAATGGCCTCGTTTTGAATGGCGCAATAGTATGTTGTACAAACACTGTTAAACAGATGGTGCGGTTTTTAAATAGCTTCTTATTAATGTGATGTAACCTGGTGCAGTATATTGCAGTGCAGTAACTAGTTGTAGTTTGTGTAAAACATTCCTTTGTTTTGTGGAGAGATCGATAAATGAAAGATGTCGTGTCTGCTGATCTGCTTCATAGCAAAGAGGTAATTTTAAGAGCACATTTGAAATTAATTTTTGGTCCAGATTTGTATTCGGTTACAAGGCAAAGCACATCTAGTAGATACATTCTCCATAACAACACTAATAATTTTGCATGACGTCTTATATGTTGGCGAACTCGGACAAGAAATGGTCCTTGACGAGTTACGTCTGGATGTTCACAACCATGGGTTGAAGCAAGCCTGATCGCCTGCGGCGACCCTCAACCATTTTTGGCCTTGGGCCAGGAAAGTCACGAAAAAAGTTTCGCGAACGACGCATCCACGCAAGTGTAGTGGAGTAAAAGATACGCATGGGTAAATTGGCCACATACAGTACATACAGACATACAAGCAGTGTGGGTCACATAAGGTCGAGCAGGTGGTGGAGTCGGGTGGCGTAAACCGAAGTAATTAAAGGAGTCATGGCACGAGGGCTGTGATTGGTCGAGAGGCTGTTAGCGTTAAGTGGCGGCGTCGCAAAGTCTGGACCGTTGGACAGGTGCGAGCTGGCGGGAAAATGCCAGCGAGCCACGTGGCAATTAAGGCTGATTGGAAAGGGGATAAAACTCTAGGTGACTTGAACGGGGAGTTGAGTTGTTGTTGGGCAGTTGTTGGCGAGAGGTGGAGAGATGCGAAGAGGAGAGCCGGCAAATGTTAGGGAAGAATAGATTGAGAGCCGAACCCAAAGGACAGTAAATAGCGATAGGGAGAGTTGGCATGAGCAGAGAGGTAGTTACGGGGGAGATAGGTACAGGGAGAGTAATGGATAGATAGTCACTGTGTGTGCGGAGATAGATAGAGTCACTGCGTGTGAATAGACAAGTCACTGTGTGTGCGGAGATAGATAAAGTCACTGCGTGTGAAGAGATAGACGAGACACTGTGTGTGAGCAGATAGAGAACCACTGTGTGTGGGAGGAGTATGCGCGGACGGTGCTGAGGGGAATCGGTGTGTCCGAGTTGGCGGAGCGCGGAGAGGAGAAATTATAGTGTGTGCGGAACGATGGAAATAAAAGTGACGGAAGAAAGGCGGTTGTCGTCCGAGTAAATTCACGGCACTACACAAGCACCCGATGTTCCGTTTTGAATTTTTAAAATGAAACAACTTTGAATTGTATTATATTTTTTAATTTGATAATTTTATTTCATTAAAAGCTTTTATCATTTTACTTCTCGAAGAAGTAATTGAAAACGACAATTTGTGTGAATTTTCTCTCGTCAAGTAGATGGCCTTGCCAGGGATTCGGTTCGATGCGGACTTTCACCTGTTTGAGATCGCGGGATCGAGATGAGGCGACACAGCTGGCTGTGCGAGAAGACCGGTGTCTGCAAATCGATTCCAAAGTGATTCCGCGTCTGTCCCTGCGCCTCCGTCGTTAATGCAGGGGGCGCGTAGGTTTGCAGCGCCCCCTGCAAGAAAATGACGGAAAGTGCAGTGTTCGTCACAGATGAAGTTGTGCGCTTCAAAGTACCTTCAGCCTACAGAAATCAATTTCGTGTGAGCCCACCGCATTAAAACAATGCTCAGCTGAGCGGGGCGAGCCACGGGGGGGTGGGGGGGGCAACTTATCTCTGTCACGTGCCGTAGAGTTTGAAAGACGTCTTGTCTGCTGATCTTGTTCATATCTGTGTTCATCGATATCCCACATTGCATACACGTACACACCACATGCAATAAAATATATAGAAAATAGAACAACTTCCGGGAATGGGCAAAGATCGAGGAATATCTTTCAATGGAGCGAGTTAAGTTTGTTCGATTCAACATCTCTCTGTCCTTCGTAGACAGTGCTGTGGGGGGAGGGCCAATTCCGATTGGCCTCTCCCCTCATGGCTTCTGTGACCACCACCGTGGCGAAATGGAGGCTCTGGACGGGTGCGAGGGGCTGCTAACCCTTTAATAAATTACCACTAAACCACGGCTAAAATATCTAACTAATAAGCTTATGCCGGAGGCTCCGAGGAGACGGGCGTGTATGACGTCACCTGGCCAAACCCCATCTCGCGGAGCGAGGAGATTGAATCTTTACCCTAGGGGCTCCTCCAGAAACAACGACAAGCCACTACGGATGACCACGTGGAATGTTCGAACGCTCACTGCGGAGGAGTGGCTGCCACTCCTCTGTCGGGAACTAGACCGGTACCGCCCGGATCTCTGTGGCATTCAGGAGGTCCGGTAGACCGGCTCTGGCTCCTGCCACCATGAGGGGTGGACAGTCCTCTACTCGGGGCAGGAGACTGCCAAACAACAGGGTGTGGCTCTTCTTCTTAACAAAAGAATGAAAGAGACGTGGGAGTGTGGCGGTAAGGTGTGGGAAGCTGTAAGCCCCAGGCTACTTTGGGCTCGCCTTCCCATTAATCGGAGGCGAGAAGTGGTGCTCGTGATTACTTATGCCCCCACCGAAGACGAACATCCGTAGAGGGATTCAGGGAAGGCCGATGAGTCAGATGCCTTCTGTGACCTGTCACGGGTGCTGGCTAAAGTGGCCCCTCGGGATAGAGTCATCAAGTTGGGTGATTTCAATGCCCGAGTTGGTCATGATGCTGGCACCTGGTCTGGAGTGATTGGAATGCATGGGCCAGATCAACTCAATTACAACGGTAGGAGGCTGCTAGCTTTTTGTGCAGCTCATGGGCTTGTAATTACCAACACGCTGTTCCGGCATCGGCGCACCCACACAACATCATGGATGCATGCCGGGTCCAAGCAAGAACATCTGCTGGACTACATAGTGACGGACCAGCGGATGCAAGCCCATGTTCTTGACACCAGGACCTACCGTGGAGCTGATCTGCCCTCTGGCCATCGACTTGTCATCTGTAAGATGCGCCTGCCATTCTTGCACTCCAGTGGTGAGTGTACACCCAGGACCCCATTCTAACCTAAGGTGGCCTGGTCTCAGCTAGCTAATGGAAGTTGCAAAAATTCATAATCGCTTGCGGCTGGGGTTGGCATCATCCCTCACTCCTCCTGATGTCGAGGGTAAATGGGCGAGGTTTAGGACTGTTACTCATGCAGCTTCAATGGCTGCTTTGGGAAACGCGGTCCAGACCTCCCCAGAGACCCTGGCTGACAGAGGAGGTGTTCAGGATGGTTGAGAAAAAGCGACAAGCCCACTCTCATCGGCTACAGGATCCCACGTCAGAGAATGAGGAGGCTTACCGCTGCCTTTGCTCGGAGGTTCGGAGAGCCGTGAGGCGCTGCAAGGATGGGTGGTCGTCGCGGGTTGCTGAGGAGA